GAGCCCCCTGCACCCAAGAGAGCGAAATTGTTGAGGACTGACTTGCAGGACAAACCCAATATGAACATAGAGAGGCAGCCAGGCTCACTTCGAGTTGCCGCCAGTACTGCGGCGTCCGTCCGTATCCACCGTCCCATGCCCCTCAATCCAGCTACGGCCCGAAGTCAAGGATCCAATGATGACCCTGTTCGCCCGCCCACCCCCATTCCTAGAGGCAACACTGGAACAGCACGCTTTAACCGCCCGGCACAAAGCAATCTTCGCCGTGAATCATCGGGCGGTACTCACGTGTCATATTCGTCACAATATACGCCCACACTGGAAACCGCGGCTACGTCTCCCGAAGATGTCCGATACGGAAGTGCCATTGATACCCCTTTCAACATGCCATCATCTCCACCAACAATGGAATGCATATATCCCCAGACGTCCAGTCCTCTTCTTCCACCTCTCCCTGATCATGACTCAGGGTTCATGAGCGGCACTTTAGACTCTATGCTTGACGACCATTGCATAAGGAACACCCTTGACGACCTTGATACTTCCACTGCAGAAGTGAGCCAAACGACAAACGACTCTGAAAAAAGCAAAACTGTATTGCCAGCTCATAACATTCCCCAGCCACCTAAAACTCAAAACAATAGTTTCCCGATGAGTGATAGTGTAGTTGATACGTCCAACAATGATCCCGCTAACACGCTACCACTGCCACCACGAAGACCAACCGTTTCTCGTCCATCTTCCAGAGCTAGTGTTAGGCAACCAACAAAGCCGCTTGCCCCTGCTCCTATCTCCCAGAGCGAGGCAGAACGACTAAGTCGGCAAGCTATTCCTGGCAGCGACCCTGTGCGTCCTACACCGAATCCCAAGCAGCACTATCAGCCCTGGAATGGTCCCATGAGTGACTTTCCAATCTCTACCACCCCTGCTCCAATGGCTTCTGATGATGGCAAAGTCCGCAGTGGGACAGGGGGCAGGAGAACCAAGCAGGTTCAGGCACGTCTTGAGCAATGTATTCGTGAAGGGACCGTTCCGCCGTACTGCGAAAACTGCGGTGCAATTGAGACACCTACCTGGAGACGAGCCTGGTCAAAGGTCATCCAAGGCAACGGAGAAGATGCAAATTCCAACAGGAATGACCCTACAATGCTCTTTTGGCGACCAGAAGAAGTTGCCGATGATGGCAGCGTCATATCTTACAAACAGTTCAAAAAGTCATTGGCAGACGACGATAAAGATTTTGTTCAACTCTTATTGTGTAACCGTGAGTATGCAATTTGACCTTCATATTTAACCATAGTTAACTTTTTCACAGCTTGTGGCTTGTGGCTTCATAAATTCAAAACTATGCGACCGGAAAATAAATGGAATAAACCACCCACAAAGGATAAAAGGAAGCGCGCACCCAGAAGAAATAGACCCGTAGCCGGTGCTGCAACGAGATCACGTAGTAAAGCCCTTGCTTCTAAACGAAACACATCGTCTCCTGGGCCAATAGAGGCCTCTTCGCCACCCGGGGAAGACGAAACCACGCCTGCTGACAATGCGAACGATACGGTAAATGATGAGGATGCACCTCCTTCTCGATCTGTCAGCCGACGAGCGAATAGTGAGGAGCCACCAAGGTCTTCTGACAAATGCGAAAATCGGTGGCGGGAAGAAGATGCGATGAAAGCGTTGCATCGCGCAATTCAATCTAGCCCGGCCGGGAAGATGGAAAAATCAACTCTTCCCTTCATGGAGACAAACCTCACTCCTAACCCTATTCGCAGGTCTCTGTTCCCCCTCTCAAAGGAGGGTGATACCATGAAGACACTGAGCGATTCTTCGATCAATGTGATACGACGAAGCCCGCGGGCTGCATCCAAGAAGTCGAATATGACCCCAGCTAAGGGAAACACACCTTGTAAAAGCTTGAATGATGGGCTCGATGATCTTTTTGGTGGCGACGCTGAAAACGATCCATTGCCATTTCCGGGTAGCCCTACCCCAAAACAAAATAGGAGGCGCGTTATCTTAACACCTTCTAAAAAGTCCAAGGGTGGTAAGGATTTGGGAAACTCACCGAATGGCCCCAATGTGGGCGAAGGCACCATCTTCTCACCGTCGAGATTGACTGCTGAAGAGCTTAAACGAGCAAGTCACGAAGGATCCGGGTTGACACCCCGGGCCTATCGAATAAACAACCTTCTAAAAGATGACACTTTACAAGTTTCTTTACTCCAGGAAAGCCCGCAGCTGCAGCACTTTCAATCTATCGGTGGCCTTGTTTTAGATATCTTCGACTCGGATGAAGACTCCGTCGCACAGACCGACTCCTTCTACCCCTTTGTGCCAGCCGAATGCCAGGCCAGTAGCAACTGGGCAGACTGGGCTGCTGAAAGCAGCATTTCACCTAAAACTTTAGGATGTAGGGACACTACCACTCAACAAGAACGGAGTAGCCCAACTGAATCGACAACCAAGAGCCTCAATGCAGACCATACATCGACGCTGAAAGACACCTTCTTGCTACCTGTTGACCCTGATGACGCTGAATTCAACCGTTTGCTCTCTGGCGACTCGTCCTCGAATCTCGATGGAAATTTAGACGATCCATCTACTCTTTCCGGTTCAAATATTTTTGACAGATCAATTGCAGAAGCTGGTCTTTTAAATTTGGAGCCTCAAGGGGATGCCGATGTCGGAGGGCTCGATCCCGCTGTTGTGTCTGCTATTATGCAAGAAATCACTAACGACAAGACCAAGGTTGATGTCGATTCCGCTCCTTTAAATGCCCAGGAGGCCAGTTAGAATACAATTCAATGATGAATGCAGTTGAACTGATCTATGCAATTGACGCTTGCACGTTTGGGGCCAATTAAAATGGATAATGGGCGTCTTTTTTTCCATTTCATTATGTATGTCATGAACGACAAGCATAAATGTTCCATCCAAGAATGAACTCGGAAATTTCTCCATCTCGAATTCCTTCGTTCCTGTACTCGTGTTGTTACTTTAATTTTTTTTTATTCTGGTTTTTTTTTTTTTTTTTTTTTTTTTTTTTGTGGTTGGTTTTATAGCTCCTTGTATGAACACTTTATGAATTTGTCGTCTGCGCTATTAAGATATGACCCGTGTTGGATAACACAAGGGATGTGATGTGAAATTATGACCGGTGGTTTAACCTAACTCTCTCTCAGTCGTGGTCGTTTGGAGTTTTTTGCCGTACATAGCCTAGTTACATGTCCCAACAACACTGGAAAGGTGGCAGATTATGTCCACCTTGTCAATATGACTTGAACTTTTCTAATTCCTCTCATATATATCTCTCCCAGATTCGTATATCAAGTACACTATAGATAAAATCACATGATATCAGCGACGGTGATCCCTGCTATCTGCGTATTTACATTCAACAGCAGTTCGTGTGTCACGTACGTTTAACTGAAGTTTACATTTTATATCGAAAGCCCAGAAGTGGAGTCACAATGAGAGAATTGAAATGAATACCTATCCATGCAAAGAAGCAAATATATCTCCGGTTTTCATAGGTTGAATTGCTTGATATTACACAACATGGAAGGCAGAAACCACATGCATTTTAATTTAAGGCCCCCGCCATCTCTGTTCTCCAGTCCTCAATTACATGGTGAATGGAAGAACGTAGCCGATCTATTACAAAGCGCTAGTCTAAAAATAAAAATAAAAATCCTAAGAGCCAACAAATATGAACAAACCAGGTAATTCCATCCACGATTATATCTGGGTAATAAATAAATTTCTGGCGAGACCAGCAAGGATCAGATCAAGTCCTCTCGTCCCAATTTCCCTCTGCACACTGTCAGTGGGTATATTAGGGATGAGGAAGGAAAATCACAACATCATTTGATCAACCACTTTAACCCCTTCGTAAGGCACCAGAATGACCAGTTGCTCCTCGAATCCAATGCTACAACATGACCTTGCAGTAGCCAAGAGGAGTGGGTCGGCGTCAGAAGTGAACGAAGAGATTGCCATCAATCCTAATTTCTCCACTGCCCCTAGTCCTTTCACCCAACCCATTATTTTTTATAAGACTTGGGAATCTCCTGGCATCGTCATAGGCGTTAATGAACTGATTTCTTTTGATTATTGGACGCAGTCATATGCCGTCCTGTTAGTAGAAGATTTCTTTAACCTGATGTGTCACATCGACAACTTGTTCGTAAATCTGATAGTCTGTACTCAATAGGAATGTAACTCCATTAGCTTTTCTTCTTTTTGCTTATATTTCCCCCTTCCTCAATTGAATTGTCGATATCAACATTAACAACGTACCAATATCCTTCGGATCCCCGCAATCTACCACAGCCAAAACTCGAACTCCCAGACTCTGTTGAATGCATCAATCAGCAATTTTCACTGCACCACCGTTTCTAGAATCATCGACAAAATCAACGATTGCATATTATATACACTCACCCCTTCCACCTGCGTAACCCTTCCTACGACATCTACCATCCGGCCGAGTTGCACGTGTGACTCGCGGTTCAAAATCAGCGTGACATCCCCATGGCTGCCGCAGGTAATGGTGGCATATTCACCGCGAAGCGCAGATACGGTTCCTAGAATGCGAATTGTGGTGGGGCCTTGGTGGCTGGGACCCGGGACGAAAGCGTGCAGATGTTCAGGGAGGAGGCGCGGGGTTGAGAGCGACATGACTTGTCTGATTCAGACAAGTTTTAATACCTTTTGAGGGATTTTGTTGATCGCAGTGACTTGCAAGGGTGAGTCTGTTTTCTGGGGAGCCTTGTGTGATTGCTTGGAATGGCCTATCGCAACTTGGATGATGTTTGAACATTATTTCCAAGGATTCACATATCCCAAAGGATTGGACCGCGTCGCGGGGTTCAGCGCGAGAGCACGTGATTAACCAATTAACTAGCCTATCGAAACCTCGGGAAGTTCAAGTAATCTTTGGGAGCTTTTGCCGACTCTCTGAACAACGGAGAGCCTATCAACGGGATCTTGTTCATCAAACAGCCCAATGGTAGGGCGTCAGACTTCTATTCTTCTTATTCTTCTAAAAGTTCATCTGAAGGCTGCGGGTTCGAGCCCCGCCGGGGGTATTCCACTACACTTTTATTGAGTCCTACAGGTTCCTAAGGAACATGCTGTCAAATAGTTATGCGAATCCGAACCGTCAACCGAACCTTCAAACCGAGCATTCGAAGTAATGGATAACCAGCCTGCTGTGGCATGCTCAAAACCCTATTAGTTGGCAATAGTTCTCATCTATCACGCAATTTAGCTGTATTCCTGAAATCTCTGCAAGATAGGCCTCATTGGCATAAAATGCCTCTGGAATCCTGCCGAGTTAGTTAGCTAGGGAAAACATAGAGGGGCAAAACCATAACTAACTAATGAAATATTAGGATTCTCACTAAGCAAACAACCTAGTGTTCGTATTAAACTCTTTTCTCTAACAGGAATCCTGTGTAAATGAGGCCTATCTTGCAGAGATTTCAGGAATACAGCTAAATTGCGTGATAGATGAGAACTATTGCCAACTAATAGGGTTTTGAGCATGCCACAGTAGGCTGGTTATCCATTACTTCGAATGCTCGGTTTGAAGGTTCGGTTGACGGTTCGGATTCGGGATATTTGACAGCATGCAGCTTCAATTTACCTACCAGCAGCTTTTTTTTTTTTTTTTTTGGTACATATGTATGTAACCCGGCGCCACGGATCCCTGTGCAAGAGCTTCACATTGTCCTCCAGATATCCACTGCTGCTCCTATCTCCGTACATAGTCCGAGACTTTCCCTGGATACGAACCCATCCAGATTAGAAAACAAGCCCTCCTCCGAGTCGTATTGATTCTGTTGGTCCCCTGTCTCAAATTCTTCTGTGGACAAAGATCCATCCTTCAACACCCCATTCCGTCGTTGAACATGTATGATATGTTAACGAGAATATATTTGTGCAATTTCTGCGAAATAATCGGGTTGCTGGAACCGCTATGCTTCAAAGGTTTTTCGTCCCTTCAGCAAGTTGGCGTCAAGTTAGTCACTCTATCTCACGTTCCGCGTTGATTACGTCGAGAGGGGAACAATGAAGGTAGCATATTGATAGATACTTTGATTTTGAAAATGGCAATGCAAACAACAATGAATGTTTTTTTTCACAATTAAAGGGAGGAACTCAGGAAAATAAACATCATCTGTGGTCGTTGCATTCAGGAAAAAGCGGCGAAGGCGAGAGGGAAATTTCCGTCTATACAGGAATGAATATTTTATCTATGCAATATATACAATGGATACAAGACATGAACAATATGCTAGAAACGAGGGAAACATACATCCTCTCCATATCCTAATCAATTAAACCGTTGAAACAGAGAGCACAAGGAAATTCTTCCTTCCAAGCATCCCAACAACGTCCCCTTAATATATCTCAGCCCATCAACAACCACTCGTTGATGACCAGACTGAAGGAAAAGACCACACATTTCTAACCCCATTATTTCCGAACCTTCAGCTTAGTCCAACTTGTCTTTCCAGGCCACCCATCAGCAACCTTGCCCGTGAATCCCAACTTCTGCTGCCACTTCTTGTACGATGCGCGGTCCGCATCAGTACACTGTGGTCCTGGTCCTTCCTTATACGCGCTGCAGCCCTCAGCAACCAGGCGCTTACCCATTACCGTGACGATGCTGCTCCTTGGCTTGCGGTGGAACCACGAGGCAGCTGGGAACTTGCTGTATTTGGTTTCAGGTGGCTTTGGGGTTCTTCCGCCACCTCCTCCGCCTCCTCCACCTGAAGGATTAAGCTTCCCTTCCTTCAGCAGCTTGTAAAGGGGCCCGCCAGGACATGAAGTTGCCCACCCGTGTCGGTGGCCTTTGACCTCCTTCCCAACCCCCTTACTGCGCAGGTATGTAACCGCGTCATTGATACCTTGGATCATTTCCTTTGAGGGTGTTGTGTCGCCCGCGGAGCCGGCTAATGCGAGAACTGATCGGGTGATTTCTATTCAGTTCCGCATTACCGTTAGCTCCGGTACGGTACTTGGAGCCACGATCCTCGAAGACGTAGCCGTGCTGGCAGACCGCAAGCGTGTATGCAATGTCACCCCAGCCGTTCGCCTTGTCGTTTCGATGTTGGGTTTGAATCGCTCTCATTTTCCTTGCGCATTTGGAGTGGCTTCCCTTGCTAATATATCCGCCAGTGCAATGGATCTTGACGCCTTTTGGATTGCCCACAGGTGACATTGAGGACTTTGCAAGCTTCGCCCCCCCACTGTTTTCGGCTAACGAATTTGATAGCTTCAGCTGGCCGGATAAAAGTATGTTGGTAGCAAACAAGCAGGGCTAGGACGGCGAGGCGGATCAACATCAAACGTTTTCTGTTGGAGAATCGTTGCCCAAAGGCATTTCCGAAGACTCTCCTTCTAGGAGCCGCCCGGGAAGGGCGCTGTCAAACTTCATATTGGACGCAGTGTGTAATAACCGAGTTAAGCGAAAAGAGGAGAGAAGAGGAGAGTAAAATAATTATACAGTTATCGCCCTTCTATCTCAAGACTTTGTCGATGCTGAGTACGGAAATAACCCAAGCACAGAGGGGGTCCAACGAATCCTTTTATATTCAATCCTTCTCCTAGACGGCTAATCCAACACTAACATACCGTCGTATTAAATACTGATCAAATATCATTTCCTCCTCATCGCCTCTTAACTTTTTATGGCACGTCTCTCCATCCACTGGTATACCGTACTTTGTGGAAACAAAGATGCGCCCTCAAGCGTGAAATCCCAAGGGGGGCTGCGTTAGAATGGCTTTTCTTGAAACTTGCAAGGATGTTTCATTATAGAAGACTTCTTTCATGTCGAGGATATGACCGCGCAGAAACTGAGCTTGGTAGATTTGTACTTCTCCAGAGCAATTCGAGGTTCATGAATGCTCCACAGAAATAAGCTATAACTTTAAACAGCCCATATACCGCAAACATTGATATTCTAAAATGAACCCTGAAATTCATTTCAGCCTTTCAAAGATACAATTGGAACGGTAATCCTTCTTCAGTTGGTCAGTCAAACACCGAGCTCCGGTCGGATAACATTAACGTATGTCGAATATCTGATTTTTCTCTCGTATGTCGGGATCCCGGTTTGCAAGAGTCCAAGTGAAAAGGGGTAATCTGGTTCGCGAGCTCGACACGACCCTCCTCCTAGATCAGGAAGATTAGCAGAAGAACCTGCATTCATAAGCCTAACTGCCTTGAGGTTGAGTTCTTGAGTCGCTTGTAGCGCTAGTTAAGTTTCGTTGAGGCGCAGATCTGTGAAAACCCACATGGAAGCTAGTTAGTTAACGCTACTTTCAAACTCTGCCCTGCCCAGATGGATGAGGAAATTTGATCCCCCGGCGTAGTTATCCGGCTGCCTATCGACAATAACAAGATAGAGCTTGAGGGCAAAGAATCATACCCCATTCCACGGTCAACAATTAGTTGGTCAAAACATTAATATTGGGGTCGGAAATCTCTTGAGATCTAGTTACCCAATCTCTCTTCCTGTCATTAATCTAAATGGCGAGTAAGCAGACAAGTGCTCTCATGAGTTAGCTCCCATACGTGCATACTACGTGCTGTGTACAGCCTCTTTGCTCCAAACAGTCGTAACATCAAACCCACCTGTTTAGGTCCAAAGTTCACCGCGGATGACAGCACTGCGAGTAACAACGGTAACTATCCATGAACCTCGTGTCTTCCGACATTCTCCATACAACTAGAATGCCCCATATCCGCAATCACGGACAAGTGAAAAGAAAATGTGTGCCAGGGATCCAGTCTCGCCCGCCCAATAGTGAACCGTTATTTAGCTACTTTGTCCGCAGACCCTTGCCCCCGAATCATGTTAGTCAACAACCGGCCCCAGCGAAGGAGTCGGATCCGGCACAACCAAGGTATTTGCATGAATCGATGCTCAGATACTTCGGCTTGGCTTCCAATATGACGCTTGCATCTCAGGCACAAGGGACAGAGGAATAAATAGAAACAGAATACGGAGTAAGGGAATTGGAAAGGCTTTAGCAGGTTGGGCAAAGATTTGGCAATAATACAATTGCTGTGGAACTCGGAGAGCCAAATACGCTTGTGATAGTGGAGAGATAGTTGTCATCTACGTCCTGACGATGTTCGCTTTCAACCTGGGATGGTAGATCGTGATGCGGAGAAAGTGGACCTCGGAAGTATTTAGTTATTTAGACTGACTGGGTGTCTGGCATTTCCGGAATGACAACACAATCCCTCACTACCACGCCAGATCTTCCTCCCGCTCTGTCCTGTGCAGTACATGGAAAATCCCCTTTTAGCCCATATGATTTCATCATGGGTATATCTCCTGTCTCGCTTCGAAAAAAACGTATGAAAATGTCCAGCCTCTCCCACCTGCCCCTCTAACGACAACCACCAGACCACTCCACTGCCAAGTCGTAATCCAACCCACCCTATACGGTCTCCCCACCACGAGAGATGACATTGAGGATATCTGCAGACATGCTACACGAGGTAGCAAGTTTATTTCGCTTCGCGAAACAATTCTACAACAGAGAAGCACCGGGTTAATGAATAATATCTGCCATGTTAACTATTACTCTGGTCCGCCCGTTGACGTATGTTTTTCTCATTTATTGCCAGCAGCGGGTGGTTAGCTCAGCTCCTTCTTATTCCCCATATATCCAGTGCGAAAGGACATTCATCAAACAGGTTTGTTGTTTCTGGGAGAACTTGGATTTCTCGTATCGAGTTCCACTATGAGCCGCCCTCCACGGCGGGCCTACATAGTGACATCCATCCAACGCAAACGAGCAGCAGACCATTCATCTGTCCATTTCATCCCAAGAGCTCCAATTTCTCAGGTATCTCCGCATTCTGCAAAGCTAAGCTCATTTATCACTCCATCCCATACTCTGCACTCGACTCTTGATTTATAATGTGGAATTTGATTCTTGGTTGATTTAGTTATTTTTAAAACTGATGATGAAATGCAGGCAAAATGGAACAAACACCTTCATGCTCTTATTTGGATGGCAAGAGTGATGGCAGTGTTAAACATACAGTGATACTATGAAGCAGTCATCATCACAAGCAGTTTGCTGCGGCTTGACTTCCAGGCCCATTTTAATTTTCATGTAGGGTCTGAAATCTCCAGTATCTGCAAATTTTGAAAAGAGATGGGAGAGAAAGGAAGAAGCATATGTTGAATCCCAAAAGTAAAGAGGTCTCATTCATCAGTTGGGAAACATGAAAGAAAATGTGGGAAATGGGAAACATAAAGGGAACCACTTAAAGAGGATATCTCACTACCATACTCACAAATATGAAAGAGGAAATATTGGAGAGGAAGGTTACCTGGGGACTTACTTCGTGCTGACAGGAGAGAGATGAGAGGCCAAGCAAATTGAGATGCAAACATGGGTGATATGTGTTGACAGGAAATAGAACAAAACCAGGGAAGAAAATCGGAGGAGAGACCACCAGGTAAAGGGATAAACACGCACACATGGAGAGAAAGGAGTAAGGTATAGGTGTAGTACAGGTGGTATTGTATCAAGGGCCAGGTCCTGCCAGGCGAAGAGAAGAAAAGAGAAAGTCTGGTAAGTTTTTCAGTTCATTCTATCCACGAGGCCTAGTCATCTCTGTTCGTGTGTGTGCGCGTGCGTGTGTGAACGACACAGAGAGCGACAATTACAATACGCTTCAATGAAAAAGAAATCAACACGAGAATCAACACGGGAAGATCAATCCTACGTTCGAATTTGTTGATACTGATGGCTCTTCCATTGTGATTGCAGCGTGATGACTTCATTCTGTTGTGTGGTGAATTTGCTTTCTTGGAGGATGTGTTCTCTGCGCCCAGCTCTTCGTTGTTTGATGCAGCAGAGTATCAGGACAAGGAGGCCGATTAGGGCGACGCCACCTACGGAGGCACAGATGGCGATCTTGGTACCGCTAGGGAGTTCACGCCATTTCTGCGACATGGACTTTGGTGGTGGCTTGTGCACTTCTTTCTCAAGGTAAGATGTTCCACTATGCACATGATTGTTAGCATCTAGATATCATTGTTGAGTTTTAGGTCTATCGATGCATGCAAAGTTTGACGGAAGGAAGAATATAGACGTACTTATGGACCTTGATACTTTGCCAGGTACCAGATCTGTCTGTCCACTCGTACTCCTTGCCTGTTGAATAGTCCTGGACCTTGAGCTGCTTTACAGTCATGAAATACGGAACTTTGCTGTAATCTACTTCTCCACCAGCCCACTCGATGGTGCCCTTCTCGTTCTTCGGGTCACCTCCAGGCCAAATTCCCAATCTCACCGTCATAGGTGTTTGCGGATAGTTTCTCCCACCAAGGGCCTGGTCGTATGTTAGGGTGCGGATTAAGTCGTTGTTGACCCACCACTGCAGCCGTTCCGCGGTCCAATCGATGGTGTAGTTGTGAAACTTTTCCATGGGAGCATCCACCTCGTGGATGCCGCCACGGTCAGCCAAAGTTCTGTTGCCCTTGCCATAGTAATTGGTTTGGACATGGGTGGTATCGCCGCCCACCCATTCCCAGTCAATCTCGTCCAGATCCTCGGACTGGAGAACGATGCTGCTGACCACACCCCTGCCTAAAGCTGCTTTCATGATAACCTCCAGTCGGCCAAAGAAGATATAGAAGCGGGATTGGATGGTTGGGGAATCCAGCTTTTCTTTGATAGAGAAGCTGGTGTCCTTGTCGTGGTAGTCGAGTTTGCCATTGGTGATATTCCAGATTACTTCGTTGAGGGTGTCTGTGAAGTTGACCTGGTATGTTGTGCTTAGGGCCGGGTTTCGAGGGCAATTATCCTTCTCTGTGGGATTACATGCTGTCCAGGTTTGGGCTGTGACGGATGAAAAGAGAGTTGCGAGCAGAGCAGTTAGGAAGAGGAGAGACGACAAAGAGAATGGAGAGGCCATGATAAGGAGAGATTGTTAGTTAGAAATAGATGGATTGGAGGAATGAATGTGGGTATTTATTCGCAGGCAATAGCGAAGAACTGCTTCTGAAGGTAGAGACCATAAAGGAGAGACAGGAGACCCCGCCGCGGGGGTGGTGTGGAATCGAAATGAAAGAATATATATATATATATATATATATATAGAGAGAGAGAGAGAGAGTGTGTGTGTGTGTGTGTGAGGATGGAGTAAGACAAAGACAGTTCACAAAGACAATTCGTTAACTAAAAGGAGTGACAAAGAAATGAAAGTGAGAGGAGTAGCTAGGGGAAAGAAGGAACTATGGAAGGAGAAATAATAATACTGAAACGGGAAGGGACATTTCGAAATTGAGGAAGATGCGGACTGTGATTGGCTGCAGCTGCTTCCCCCCAGAATTGGCTCAGGGGCCCAACTGTGGCGCGTGGCCATGTGGAAACCATTCTAGTCCGTATTAATATTAGCTCAAACGTTGACGGGAGTCACGACCCTCTTCAGCGGGCGGGATTAACCTTGATTCGGTGTTCAGAAACTATTGGCTGGCTAAGTCCTGCTGAGGGCTAATACAAAGGCTTAATTGGCTGAGAACTTCTTCGTGCCTGACATCAGGTGATATGGGGAAACTCTAATGCTGCCATGGTGAAGTGGCTGCTTGTTCCGTTGGACGATCTACAACAGGGGGGGCCGGGTTGCGGAGAAGTCCTTCCAATGTCAATAATAACCTGGCTTATGTGCAGAATTCGTAGAGAATTTTCATGAGGAACAGAGAAACCGATTTCTAGCAAGTCGCCGAAGAATTGCCATACAACTGTGAATAGATAAAAGGGAAAGAGTGATTCCCAACAGCTTGAACGGACACCCTGCTTGGCAGCCCGAACTCTGGAACATGCTAACAGGGACTGAAACATTCGGGCATTAATAATAAATAATACCCTTGACCGTAAGAAATTAACAACAAGAAATGTGAAGGGGTCGTTTCCCCCATACTTAGGTCCACGGCTTTCATGAGATGCTAACAGCGACATTTTCATCAAAAAGGACCAAAGATCCTAAGGAACGACTTACGAGAACAGCGGGTGGGAGGAAATGTGGAAGGGAAAATTATAAGAAATACATAGTTAATCTTCTTCCAGAAAAAAAACCTCCCTGACAGGGAATCGAACCCTGGTCTCCCGCGCTCGTCAGTCAAGACTGGATGACAAGCGGAAATCATAACCACTAGACCATCAAGGATGCTTGTTCATCTCTCCTCTCCTTTCATTAGAGCCCAAGCATTATTCTGTACTTAGTTTTTCACTATTGTTTCTCAAAACATCGGAGAGAAGTGACCACGAGTATCACGTTTGACAGCAAATATAACCGCGTTTCGTAGTACTGTCATTATATATTGAATGAGTGGCATTCCTGGTCATCGGTAGACCCAGTCGACGGTCGTAGATATGTAAAAATATACATAACCACTGGAGGGGATATATATACGTGGAGTCCTTTCAATATTCACCGTAAGCACAATTAATAAAATCCTGTATGTATGATATCAACGGAAAAAAGGTAAAGAAGGGTGCATATATTGCGTGACATTCACTGGTAATGATTCATTCTATATTTACTCTCAATATCCAAGGGGCATATACAGGGTTTTCCGACCAGGACGGAAGACTGATGTCGCCATGTCGGAAAACAAGAAGTAAGAGTAAAAATAATAATAATAATAATAATAATAATAATAAGGGTAAAAGAGAAGTTTCAACCAGTTCCTAATATTATACAGCACAAAGCTTTCATAGGGGATCCATTCAAAAATGAGGCACCACACCTAAACACCGTAAACATGCATCCTGCAACGCCACAAACAAATTGGACGGAGAAAGGAGCTAGACAAGTGAGGTTCGAATAGGACGAACAGAGACACATCATGTCATGTCCTAGAATGCATATATGTGCATCTCTACGCGGCAGTACCTATCCGACGGCGCTTATCTCTGTCGTCATACGGTGATAGGCTCCGCTTCCTTCTCGGCCTGTCATCATCACGGTAGCAACCCCTACATTCCCTCTGTCGTGGCGATCGTGATGGGGACCGGGATCGTGACAGAGAGCGGCGCCGTGGTCGTGCTCCAGACCTTGACCTTGACCTCGGCCTCGACCTAGATCCTGACCGTGATCGCCGTCTGGGGCGAGGTCGATCTATAAAGGCACTAGAATTCGCACCCGTAGGACCATACGGCCTATCCCGCTCGCCCTCGCGTTTGTCTGGAAGAAATCGCTCATCCTTGATCCCAAACCGTGCCGTATTATTAGATGTAACTGAACGGTTATATCCATCAACCCCCCAGCGACCCGTATCTTCGCTCTTTAAGTCCCGATACTTCGTTCTCCCCTTCCTCCCAATCTTAGTCATATCCCTAACCTGCAAATACTGCGGTAGCGCCTCGCGATTCTTAACCTCATCCACAAACCGACTCCCCATGAGATCGCGACGATCTAACCCTTTCTCCTCCATATCGTCATGGAAAAATGCCCCCCTGTGAAAATACCGTTGCATGAACCCGACATTTCCTCTTCCAGCTTCCCGCTCCTCCTTTTGCTGTGAAAGGAATTTCCGGTCTTCCCGCTCCCGCTCTTCAGCCGTGAGATTCCGACGCCGTTCGATCTCCTCACGCTCCTTTTCCGCCTGCTCGATAACTTCCCGCTCGCGCTTGATGCGTTTCAGCTCCCGAAGCTTCCACGCTGCAAGCTCAGCGGCCGGGTCGAGCCCGTCGGTATCGTCAATTTGTTCTTCATTCTCTCCTTCGACGTTCTCATCGTCATCCCAAGATTTCTTCCCCGCAAGTCTTATAGCAGCTTCTTTCTCCAGCTGGTCCCGAATCAGAATATCCGCCCTCTCTTTTCTGCGTGCGATTTCGGCTGCGTCCTCTGTGGTTGGATCTGCAGGTGATGGTCCAGCTCCCCCGTTGCTTGTAACGCCTGGAGTCGAAGAGTCCTTCCGCTGATTCTTTTTGATGAATGTGGGCCTAAGTAATATCCTTCTGGGTGCTTCCTCCTCCGAACTTGATTCCTCTTCCTCCTCAGAGCTTTCTTCTTCGCTATCCTCTTCATTTTCCCCTCCTTGATCTGTTCCTTTCCCCACGCCTTTTCCTGCCTCATCCTCCTCCTCTTCGTCAGTGAGAAACCCTGCTTCATCTTCACTTTCCTCCTCTAACTTCACCTCACGTACTCCGTTTATAAGTTTTGACGTGGGGGCGGCAGGAAACGAAGTTGCTTTCGGGGGAGGAGCTCTATGCTGTTGTCGTCGTAACCTTTCCTGTTCTCGTCGCTGTTCCTTTTCATTAATTTCCTCATCGTCATCCTCTTCCTCCTCCGAAGAATGTTCTTCTGCGATTGGCTTTCCTGGCCGGTAACGCTGTGGCCTCTGCGGATTCGCAGTCATGCGACCGCGAGACGATGGGAAGGGAGGAGGCATGGTGGTGGTGGAATGGCAAAAGAGTTGGGGGTTAGGTAAGTGAGATATAGGTAAGAACCATTATCGGCAAAAGAACGGTGAGAAGATGCTCTAGCCGTAAATAGAGGAATAGGATGTTTAGTAAATTATCAGAGAGGAAGTTGATGCCAGAATCTATTGTCGAACTATGCGGAATCCGCGATGATGTCGTCGGATGTTATGGAAAATATATTATCCGAAAGCTAATTGTTGAACTCGTTGGCTTGGCGTGTTTAAATACAATTAGCACACAGTGAAGTATTGATCGCGGATTTTAAATACTGTATTAACTCCAGTGACTGTCAAGGTCATTCGCTTCAGTTCGACCACCTCATAACCTATCAGCTTCTGGGCTTCTACAACCTTGAGCTATATGCAATTCACTAGGTCAATCTGATGTGGACAGGCCACTGCCGTCTAATTGGAATCCATCACACTTGGACCCAATTACTGCACAACCCAATTGGACTTGGACCAGGTTCAGCCCAATAGATTCGAAAATTTCACTTCTCAACAAACATGTCATGTTTGACCTTTTTTTTTTTTTTTCAAAATTCTATTTTTGATCTTTGGCTCTAGCTCGAATATTTCTTTGATCTCTGCCCTGGCAGGATGAGGTTATGAGACCTTGGGGAATGAAGCATGGACTGAAACTGTCCAATGGAGAAATCCTGACGCATCGTCACGTGACATGTTTTCACCAAATATAGTCGTTCTCGTAGCGTGCAAACTCTGCAATCAATCAACCTTGCCATTCTGCCAAAAATAACATACAGCTTGAGAGTACCTTTGAGCCATATGTTCCTTAATTTTGCTTGCAAACACCTGAATACTGTCATTGGGTTTTACCAGCTCCCAATTACATTTTTATAGGTGTAGGATACCATGCAGGAAGGTGACGCTGAGTATCACTTTAAGCCAGGTGACATCTCATTCTATGTGTCTGTGTAATGAGAGTCTCTTCAAGCATCTGGCTCAAAATCCTTGTTTCTTGGATGATTTATTAGTTTTTGCTCTCCATTTACGACATCATAGAAACTTCAATCTGATATATATATATATACCGCCACTTTAATCTGCCACATACTATTTGGACCGTAAGTATATACTCAAGATCTTCTCCCTTCGATATCAGGTCCCCTTAATTCATTAACTTTTTTATGTCCTTACATTAACTTCTATAACTGTTTTCAATCAATATAGGCTTATCTGAATTATCAGTCAAGTTGAACTCCACTCAAGAAGTCAAACGCAGTTTGCAAATCTTCAACCAAGAAAGCAGTGTTTTTAATAATTTTCCTGTTCCTTTTTCCACCTTTCTTTCCTTTTCCTTCTTTATTACTTTGATATCATTATCCTGTATTAATTCAATTCAGCTAGGTAGGAGGTTATCAACAATATCTGTTTATAGATTCTTTGCAACAATAATTCACATAGTAAATGAATAATAAATGGGAGTGAATGCAGATGATGTCATTTGGAAAATATGGTGCGGCTCCAGGCGGGTAACTGACTAATCTACCCGCCTTAGCATCCGTACCACGAGTTAGCACTTCCACCCCAATGCACTACGCTCTGTCTAAGCCTCAAGATTTCCAGGTTCTTTCAGTTATAGTAATCTCTGTGTCTCCGACTTATGAACAGACGATCATAATTGATTGCTTCCATTTGATCTCATGTGACCGACGCTCCACGATGAATACAGCGTCTATCTTGCAAAAAAAACTCCCCGTGAAAAGAAAAATCAAGAAAGAAGTAAAATTTTCTGTAAAAGTGACGTATACTTGTGGGATTAACGTTGCATTTTTAGGTAATACCTACGAACCTCTGGAAGGTGGTTTGAAAATGCTCAGGAAGATAATCACGAGTTTGTTTCTAGCCCTCTTCTGCATCGCACACTAACTCTGACCAGCCAAACTTTTCTCCCCTTCTAATCATCTGTCCTCGTCTATTTTTACTCGCTCCAATATTTCCGCATGCTATCCATGGCAAGAAGGGACCGATGCACCAAGAGAAATTGCCTCACGGTTTTGGAAGAGCATCAGAACAATTTTCCCTTGCACATAAGATCTTTGTTCTCGGACGTAAACGACCTAGGACAGATTCGGAATCATCACAAGAATACAAACAATCATTTCAATAGCTATCCCCTAGTTATGACATGCACACAGGCTCACATAAAGGATGCGCCGTAAACTCTGATTCTACCTCCCACCCCAAATTTCTGTTTCCTTCTACCCCTGACGCCAACATTGCAGCACCTATTAGCCGGGCTCTTAGGCATGTTTGGCCCAAATTCATTCTCGCAATTTAATTTGCCTGAATATAAACATGGGCTGGTTTCATGCCGTGGATAGCTATGTAGGCGGAAGTTGCCTGTTTTGGGAAGAGTGATAGATGTTTTGATTCAGCTTTGCGAAACTAGAAACTTTATTTCTAGCCCACGATAGGACGAGCTCGTCGACCGCGGGGCACAAAAGTAGTGCCGATGGTTGTAACGTGAGATGGAGAATAATAATTTTCCGATGAAATGAGAATATGCTGGCAGGGTAGTTGTTGTGCTATTTCAAATTATCAGCTGGTAAAGACGGACTAACTGCATGGAGCAGCCTCGCCAAACGCCATTCGTCCTACGAAAACAAGGAATCTGTAACAAAGTTCCCTTCTCCAACATTAGCAGTAGTTGCGAGCTTGTCTAAAGAGCCTCCAAACCGGGAAAATATGAGAGATATAAGGAAATTGATGCAAAACGGAGAAAATTAGAAGGAAAAGGAAGGAAGAATGACGCACGCTTGTCCAAAGCTGACAATGGAATGAAAGAAAACAAAACCCATAAATTAAAAGACCATTTTAAACCGTAAATATTGGTCTATATCAAATACCCCACGCCAAAATATTTACTTTACCCCCACTCTCTCCAACATCTTCTCCCTTTCCATAACACTCTCACCAAATCGAACTAGAAACACTGTCCGTCCGGGCCACATCTCACTAGCCTGATTGTGAGCCGTCACCTTTGCCTCAAACCCACACCCGTCACACACCCCTTCGATAATTCCAGCCACGTACGCCGCACAATTCAGTTGGTTCATCTCCCGCGGGACAGATATGTAGGAATTGACCAGCGGGTCATTGTCAGTAATCATGTATTCATTGGGTGTAGCGGCGGCAACGGAGTGTTCAAGCGCATCTGCTGGGCGGGAGAATAGGAGGCGCCAAAGAGGGCCGTGTATTAGCTGGAGGAGTGGGAGGATGCGGAGGGGTCGGTTGGGTTGGGTACCCGATGAGGAGGAAGAGGATGTGAGACCGCTAGATGAGGAGGACCCGGGTAGAGATCGGTAGAGAAGAAGATCGAGAAGGCGGAGGCCTAAGGGGTAGCCCTGTTCGTTAAGTCTGGTTGATGGCAATCGATGGGCTGTTAATATGGTTTACTTATAATAGCTGAGCCAACGCCATGTCATGGTTCTAGTCGAGGGGAATGGGAACTGGTGACAGAAGGGGTTATCTTGAGTTATAGATGCAGTTTGACTACATACCGTCGCTCTAGGTCCTGTATTCCAGTCACCCGTCTCTGAGCATATACGACCATTTCAGAAAAGAGGTACGCAAAGCTTGCTTTGCTGAGTTCCGCATTACGGCTTCGGTTGAGATTTCGATCATAGATTGTCTTCTTGTTGGAGGGAACACGCAGCCCCGTAGAAGGTTGCGGTATACTTCTCGATCGGTGCTTTTCCTGTGAGTCCCCAACGTTGTTGCTCACAGCTGTGCCTGTGGAGGATACCTGGGTGTACTTGGCGAGAGATGCCATTCCTTTTTGGAGCGGAGGTCTGCGTAGTTCGGTGGGGATAATTCGCTATTGAAATGTTGTGGCTGAGATTGCAATAGCCAGATTGGTGATATAATTGCTTCAGGAAAGGAAATCTCTAGATAATTCATTAAGCTGTCTGCTTGAGCTGATTCCTCCGCGCTCATCATTGATCTGGGGTAGGGAGCAGACTACGGTTGCCTGTTCACGCAAATGTGCAGTTCGCCCTCACGATATCTAGAAATTTACGGAATTTATTGGCAACGCACAGGTCAGCCATAATTTTGTATAATTTGTATACTATAACGCTAAAAGTTAATTCATGTTCTCTCTTGCAATATGATACTTTTACTTTCTTTCTTTCTTTCTTTTCTTTCCTTTTCTTTTTTTTTTTTTGGACCCTCATGTTGCCGCTGAAAATATCTCATAGATGGGCGTAGTAGTGGCTAATTCTGAGCATATTACTACGTAGATTCATGGGGCTATGAAACAGGCATAAAATAAAAGATGTCAATAAAAATTATCGTATGTCGAAATACAAATAAAGCCTATCTTGCGGCGTACAGAGGGTACACAGCGCAAAGAAACCAGTATTGCTGGACGTTACTCACACAATATATAACGAAAAAAAGAGAGAGAGTAAAAAGAAGAAAGAAAAAAGAAATAGGCTTCATATAGCTGTGTAGCTACATCCTACTTTTATCAGCATCGCAAAGTTTTTTTGCATCATATGCTTTCTGTTTTTGTCTTGAATTCCAATTCAGAGTCCGGGAGATGCTCTGTATCCATTCGTGGCTCCGCGCTTCTGAGGGGCTCACGTTGGCAAACGGGAATCTCGAAGCCGAGATGGTGACATAGTCACCAGGACATAATTCCGTTCTGTTATAAGGTTAGTTGCTTCTAGAATTCGGTGTCAGAGGAGTGGGGTTGAACTTACCGTTCACGGCCATCAAAGCCAGCCCAGGAGCTTGTCCTTGCAGAGTATGGTACTCCGACTCTGAGGACGATGGTATCAGGTAATATGATAGGCCTGAAATTTAGAGTATGTGCACAGATAGCAGTAAGAAGAATAACGGGGTTGTCAGGATGCGATAGTGAACCACCAGCTGCAAGGTTATATGCTGTTGAACCAGTAGGGGTCGCAACGCACACGCCGTCGGCTTGTACAGAAGTGAAA